TTGATCAGTTAGCTCAATGAACACCTCGATGCACTTATCTGGGTGGCTCGCCATTTAACGTGTAGTTGTAACTCGCTAAGTGAAACTTCGAGCTTATCTTCAATTCTGTCTGATATTCTCTAGTTGTCTAACTGAGGTAGGATATGTTCATATACCGAATCTCAGAGCTCCAATGACACAAGATTGAAGGAAGAGTATGAATTGCAGTTTCACAAAAATAGTTGCCACCCCCCTCACACCTCCATCCCATCCCTCGAATTTCACAACCTGTTGTCGCAGATATCCGCCTCTTTCAGAGAAAACATAGATTAAATCGTCCATCAACAAACATTTCACAGCGAATCAACATATCATTTTGTGAAAGTTCACCTGAATTGTCGGGAAAAAATGGAGAATAGCTGTCTTCCCACACAAATTCTCCCTGAAAATGAGTCTCCTCAGCGAGCAATCACTGAAAACAAAGTTTGTTTCAGCGAATAGTCTTAAGAAGTAGAAGAAAATGGTGTTTTTTACCATGTTTTTGAAAACAAAATGATGTAACAAATGTTCCTCTACCTTCATCAAGCATAGATATTGCTCACTTTCATACCATCTAAAAAAAAGATTTAAATAAAGTACAGGCCAACCTAATTGTGCCATTTCTCGCACTTTGTAGCACGATGCATTCACAATTATAGTAATTCTTGGACAGTATTAACGGCAGTAATGCTTTCGCTATATTAAATTTGAAATGATTTCGCCAGCAAAAAACTGAACTCATATGTTATTAAGAACATATGTTAGTAAAAAAAATAACAGCAAACAATTATAAAAATCTTTCTTCTTTTTAATTTATATGATACTGAAAAACTAAAGGTTCTTAACAAACTTCAACTTAGTTCAATAAACGTTCAATATAATAAGTGAGTACACAGAGAGGCGAAACTGATGAACATATGAAAGCTCTGTAAAACTTATATGAAGGTTTTCATTAGTATTACAGAATTTCAACAACATAGCAATTTTTTATTCATAACTACAAACTATCATTTGAGACAGTAATTCAATTAATAAGTCAACAAGCATAACAGGAACCTAAGCTTGTGCCAATCACGAATCTCCGGTGTACTAAATGCGCTAGTTCTGCAAACACAATATGGTTTTCTTAAAAACGAAGTGCATCAAATTAGTCGAACAAATAAAATTCATTTGCTTCACTTACTTAGAAACGCTTATTTAAATCAATATGCATGTTACTGGACTTATGGATTCGGTCTTGTACCAAGATATTACAAATTATGCATATTGCTTTCAACTGCTCTCTTTACAATTCCATCTTAATTAGCTTACCATAACTTTACATGCAAATTTACCCCTTTACCCCATTACATAATCACTCTGGCGACGATTGAAATGCCAAAGTTCGCGGATCAATAACTCAAAGAATCAAAATTGAATTTCATTTTCAAAAATTATTATCTTTTTATATTTGGTGCAGGTCTTTTTGGTTTTGATTGCGGATTGTATTGCGTGTATATTACACTATTCCTTTCATTTCATACTGCTTCCATCTTCTTTTCATATTCGAATCCGTCCGTTTGTACTATTTGCAAGAAGGATTTGAACACTCTTCTCAATGCAAAAACCTGAAGCGAGCTATACCGCCAACCCAGTATTAATGACAGCCTCACGACCGAACTCGAGCAAGCAAACTTGTTGACAAATTTCCACTGGAGATGCCGTATGATATTTCGCGGCTAGCCGTTGTTTGCACAAAACGCACGCTTCGACTGGCGAAAGCTTGCCAAAATGGGTAGTAGTGTGTGGGAAGTGAAGGGTGAAGGAGGTGGGGGTAGTGTTAGTATGGCCGAGAAGATGCGTGATTAGGTATGGTACTTTTCCACTAAGTCTATATTTCGAATGAATTCCATGTATTGGTGTGTAAAGTTTCTGATCGACAGGTTTGTGCATGGGATGTTGCGGAATTTATCTGTTGGCAAAATTAGATTCAGACCAGGTTGTTTTGCTACCTCTGACATGTGTTCGATGTTTAGTTGTTCATCAGACGAAAGATTATTTGAAGGAAATATGAAGCGATAGAAACATGTTTTGATAGTGGTGGCATCAAAAAATGTTTTTTTTTCCTTACTTAGTTAATGTAGGATATGAAAATTTCAAATCCCTGACTTTTTACACCGATAAATTATGCTGTTAATCATGACGATAATGGCTTTCTTCGTTTTTGATTGACCAAAAAACTGATTGCAGCAATTTGCGCATCTCAGATAGCAAGGAATGAAAGGTGACAAAGCAGTCATATTTGTTTTTATAAATACTATATTCTAACTCCATAAAAAAAAGGATCAATACCTTTTTTAGAATGCGGCATCTTCTAATTTTGTTGTGATTTGCACTCGCATGTAAATGATTGGAAATTGATATATTTAGGCTTTTGTTTCGGTGAAGACTCATCAGCTGGCGTTCACTTTGTACATGCATGAATTTTACAGATTTTTATCAGAAAATTTGCCTATGAGATGAGCAAATGATTGATAAGAATCTTTCAAAAAAGTGTACGGGTGTTTTTGTGCGCAAAATCTGCGCTTATCAATTATGGGTGGTCAATGCATTATGTGTTTTAGTAACTGCCATCAGTTATCTCCAGAATCATCAAAGAAGATGTCCAAAAGTTGTTGCAGTACGATTCGGTTGAAAAGTTCAGGTTTTCGAATTCATTTGTATTTTCGTTGTAAATATGTGTTCCTCGAACAGTTGTTACAATAGCACATATGTATTGGAACGACTGGACCACGCATTTTAATCTTTAGTTTATTTTTGTTTGTCTGAAAAGTTGCTTTCAATCGCCCATAATTTTCGGGATCTGCCACTTTAGCGTCATCATTATATGACTTAATTTTGTTTGTGAATCTTATTCAAACTGGAAGCAATTGTACCTTAATTTCGTGATGAGCAACACCATCATGATGGCAAGTGCTACTGACTGTCGTATCTTGTTTTCACGACTTTGCTTTCTTATATCAAAATGCAATATACATTTCGAATGTAATTTATTGCTGTGTAAACCATGATATTTTAAGGTTCTCTAGGTTTAACACAGAGCGTTTTCATTGTACTCGACATGAACGAGACGAAAGTTATAAGAACCCGTCAGGATGGCAGCCTACTGTAGGAATAACCTTATCCTTATCTACAAAGCTATTAGGCTGGAGTAATATCCGTATTGTATGGTTGTAATAATAATAATTTCATTCATGCCTGGTAATATTTCTCAAATTCGTTTAACAGTTATGTTCGATGAGTGACATTGATTTGTATTACAATGCGTTTAATTATAATCATCCGTTACTTACAACATTAATCTGTGAACCATCATTTCTCGCTTTTCGGAATTTTTTTCGTCAGTCACTATGTTGAATGGCTTGTAGAAGGTCATGGTAGATGAAACTACATTTGATTTGGCTGTGCAGTTTATAAAAGGTAATTAATAAGTTTGAACTGCTTATGTAGGAATTTTTCATTTGTTCATCTTGAGCTTTTAATGGTCTTTGATAAGTAATGTAATTGTAGAACCAGTAAGATTCATTTTCATGAGCAAAAAAGTTGTTACGTAGCAGTGGATTGAAAGGAATTCAGTTTATTCACAATGAGTTCCATTAATATCATCGCGTGACCGCTTTTGATGTTAATAGGAATTCTACTTTCCGCAAGAAATATCCATGCCAAGCTACAGAAGTACATCAGTGCACTCAATAATTGTGTGCAGGTTGCTGTCTCGCATATAACCTCAGTTTTCTGGTAAACCTTTCTTACCTTTTTTGTTAACGTTGTTGTAGAACTAGTGTTAGTAACATGTGCTGTTAATGAAAAATAAATTTTAATGTCATTTTTTAGGAAAAGACTATTGATATTTGTAAACGAGAACAGTGGGATAGAGAATTTAAACTCAACTGTCTAAACTCAACTGCCAACACTCCCAATTTACATGTTGTTCAGAAATATCATAGCAATCCAAGATTTTTCTTAACTATACAGTAGATTTTTCACCAGTGCCTATTATTTCATGAGAAATCAATTAAATTGGCTTTCTTTCGTTATTATTACCGTTTTTTCTGAGTGTATCATTCTTTAATTTTTTTCATCTCTTGACTCTTTACTCTATCGTTTAAACATTCATCGATATTAAAATTATCCACTTTAGTTAATTAATTCAAATTATTGTGATAAACTTCAACAAAATTATCTAATGTGAGAATTAAAGTTAGAGGGGAGTACAATTGCTATTGTTTTAGTGCAATGGTACTTTACCCTTCAGTTTTAATTATATTAAATTATTGCTCTTCTTTGTAAAAACTGTTCTTTGTCAAATTTTGATAAATATTTTTTCGGAGTTGAACTGGATTTATGAATCATAGTTCCTCAGCCATGAAGAGCCGGTGTGCACATCGTACTTGCGCGTATTTTTTTGAGATAAAATTTGTTCGTGACAGGTCTTTTGCATGAAACCTTTTTGATGTGCTATCATTTTTGTGTTTCTAGTTCTTTAATATCGCAATGTATTACAATCTAACTCGTTATACTTGTGCGATTTTATCGTTTACTGCGGGTTTGAGCGTAGAGAGGAATTTAGTAGCTGTACAATATTTGTCACGATTTAATTTTACAGATTAATTTTCAGGACCGGTGTGATCACTCTCTAAGTATAACTTGGATAATGATACCCAGCAATCGTGGTATTTTACCATCACAATCAAGATGCTACAGTACAACATCTAATTTTTGCCCGCAGCAGTCATACTGGCCTTCAGCTGCACCTGTGGTACCCAGTAACCGGTCATCAGTAAATACAGTTATTCCTTCATGTTCAGCTGCTAGCACCACTACAGACCTCTTGAATCTTTTACATGCAGTGTTCCTCAATAACCCGATTATGAATAATGAACCGAGATCTCTGAGCAGTGGACAGCACCATTGGTCAACATTACCAGGAGTGTGTAGTAGTGACACAACTCCTATTGCTAGCTGCACTTCAAATACGACAAGCAATAACTATCAGTGTAATATTAATTTAAAAGGTAACAGTGGTAATAATTATAATGGTAACTTCAGTAATTATTCTGAGCTTGAGATCGGTGCAGATATTGATTATACCGGTGGTTTTTTCGACAATTCAAGTAGCACATTGCCTGCTTTTGCACAAGAAATGCCATCTTATATTGAACGGCAGCACTTGAGGTTAGGGTTTGCTATCACATTCGTAATAACATTTCAGTTCTAATTTTCTTATATTGATTACCTGTGTGTTACAGTATTCAGAAATATTTAAAATATAAGAATGACCCTTAATACTTTTAGTCATATCTTATTTTATTATTCAAACGAGATGGAAATGTTTTATTGCTTATAAAATGTTTCAAAAACAATGCATTTTAGCTTTGCATCTGAAAGTGATGTGCCTGCGGAATTTGCTTCGCTGACTAACGATTTGGTAGACTTTGCTTGTCAGTACCGCTGGCCAACAGCAACTCAACAACACAAAAGTGCATTACAGTTCTGTTGCTGTTCGCCAAAACAGCGGTCGTCTTATCACCATAGCGGCACCTGTAATTCTTCTTTAAGAAATATGGAACAGAAAGCGGAATGCTCACTTACTCGTCCAAGAATGGTCTGTCTTTCAGTTTCTGCTACCCTGATGTTCTGTTAATATGCTAATTATAGTTGTCCTGTGTGGTTGATGAACATATTGCTAATTAAGGACTGAAATGCTAGGCTTTTTATTTTCATTGCAACCCAAATTCTCTCCATTTTGCTGTTTATTAGCGATATAGCCTGACCAAAATGGAATATCAAGCACACTGTGTGTTGGTGACTTTCCTTTTCATCTTCCTGTTATTTCAAATGTTTTTTTACTGACCATGGTATCTTTTGCCGAAAATTTATGTTTTCAAAATCGATTGCAAAATATTCTGTCGTTATTCATCTATCGGGGAAAAAAAAAACAAGTGGACATTGGAAAGTTATGGAATTTATTGCAACAGTGTGTCGAAGCAGATACTACTAAAGCTTCACAATCTTTTCAAAATTTGAATGAGATAGAAAAGTATATATATATATATATCACTCGTATTTGAATAATCTTTTATTCAGGGGGTCTATGCCTAGAAATTCACCTGAGTTCAGAAAAAATACATTTCCAGATTTTCCTTCAACATTATGGCACTCTCTATTATTTGCAGCCTTTAGTAGCTCCAGTTCGATTGTCACCTCGTAATGTGCCACTGACATTGTTTTTCACTAATAAATACGTCTTCAGTAATCATTATTTGTGTGAACGATTGTGCATTGATGGAATGAATTTTGTTTGCACAGAACAATACTACATGTATTGGAAAGCTAGTAAGTTCTTTATCATTTAAATAAAAATACCGTTTTATGCTCCTTATATCACATATTTATTCAGGAATACAATAATGAAGTGTTAAGTAATAACTTTGATTTTAATTTGCATTTTCACTCACCTGATTGTTTCTCTTTCGTACTTTTCAATAAATGTGCCGGTTGCTGATGTTAGATATTGAAAATGCGGGATACGATTGGAATTTTTTCCTTCGGAATTTTCACGACTTCTTGTGTTTTCCACCAATCGACTTTTATGCTTTTATATTTCTTCTTTTTATCGATTCTAATCCGTTAGATTTTATGACCGTTAATCGATTTGTCTACTAGGTGCAATGAAATTGAGTTCATACATTTCATGGAATGTTTTTTTTTTTTTCGCGAAGTATGAATTTCAGAATTGTTCAAAGATGAAGATACAGCGATGGCGATAATGGCAAGTCGTGATCCAAAGCAAATGAAAATGCTAGGCACAAAAGTAAAAAATTTTAGCCAGCCAGTTTGGGATAGATTTTCGACACAAGTCATGGCCATTGCCAATCAAAGAAAGGCAAATATAATTTTATTTCGCATTTAATTTTTATTTATCTCAACTGCTTCCACTGGTTAATTCTCCGTATGTGCAGTGTGATTTACTGGGATCACTTCTACAAAGGTCTAACTAAGATTTTGTTACATGATGTAACGCACAAAACCTCAGATTTGAATAGTTAAATTTTAAATTTATGATGATGCGTTTAAAAACTCTTTGTTATGTAGAATTTAATTTGATTTGCCACTGCAGATCAATGTTCAATGATATTATTGCCATTTCAGTATGAGCAGAATAAAGATCTTCGAAAAGCACTGTTTCGTACAATGTACACAGTTTTGGTTGAATGTAATCCCCGAGATCAACGATGGGGTATTGGATTGGGGATGGACGAACCAGACGCTTGTGATCCGCAGCGGTGGAGAGGTTTGAATTTGTTGGGTAGGCTACTGACTCGAATTCGTGATCGCATGGCCGAAAATGTCATTTATAGAAATGAGGTTTGTTGCAGCTTTGACTCATATATTTTTTTTTGTTGTTCGAAACAAATTTATACCTGATTGTCTCATTTTTAATACTTTTTTTTAGGTTATTGAAGCTCAGTCGATTATACACTTCAGGGGTTTACTGGGCGGAACAGAGTAAATGGAAAGTCCTGGTAATTGCAAAATCTCGTTGTTTTTCTATTGTATACTCCAATAACAAAATGTATCCTGTCGGCTTTGCAAACTTCTGGTCTTAATAGAAATAATAATCTTCATTGTCATCGATTTGGCTTGTGGTAATCTGTTTTTAAAATATATTTCAATTCATCAGACTAGTATACTGTGCTATAACTTTACTAACCACTACTCAGAGATGAATTGATCGAGTAAAGTTTCTTGAGTCAGCGTGTGTTTAAAGCACGAAATAGTAATATAAGTGAAAAGGATAGTGCCTCGGAACGCTCCATAATTTCCATTTCGATTTTATTTTTTGGGTTTAGAAAAAAACATCTCTGATAGTTTCGCAATTTGTCCTTACTTACAATTATATATATTGTTTTATAAACCTCTTCGGTGGATTTGCAACCAAATTTTAATTTCAGAAATTTCGCTGACTTCTCCCATTTTCTGTATCTCATTTTTACCGTTTTCTTATGTGCTTTCAAAGAAACGTACACTCATATTTAGTGCCTTTTGCTTCCTAACTTTTTGACGAGGTGTTAAATCGATTTATTTTTTGTGTCATTTATATTATAATAGCTGTTTCAATAGTCAATACTTATGAATAAGTGGGAAGCTACTGTAAATTATTTAGCTTCAAATTCGGATATTGATGCTGAGCTGAAACAAATACTATGATTTGCCAGCTATAGCTTGGTGCACTTATTGAGTTCTGGAATTTATTTACATGCTGTAATGCTTTGGTTTATGGCACCTGGTGAAATTTCGCTTTAATTTCTAGTTAGACAATGTCCAACATTGACCATAATACCTCTCAGTTTCATTTAACTTGGAAGCCTTGTAATTTATTCCGAAAATAAATTTAATACTAGATTACTGCTGATAGTTGCAGTTCATTAGTATCTATTCTATCTCTATACTCGTGTTCTCAGGAAAAATTTTTGACAGCTTTTCTTAACCTTGCAAATTCAGCCTTTCGTGTACATATCTCACAGACATTCATGTTTATCTCATTTTACTTGTCTTGTTTATTTGTCACTTTTCCTTTCAAAATTGCATAATTAATTCAGGGAAACTTTTTTTGAATATTTTTGGAGTCAGTAATAAATTATTAATTCTTATCAAGTGATTGAGTATTTGTAGTCATAATGCAATAGTTAATGCCATCAATGATATGATTTAACTGCGCACAGTGTTTTTACAACTCCTGGTTCACCCTCGGTTTCACTCTTTTTATGATTTTGTTAATGTTATGCGTTGAATTCGCCCATCTTCTCTTACTGGAGTATGACTATATGTTCAGTTTTATACGGAATTATGTGGACTGCTTGGACCATCTTTATTAATTTTCTGGCATATATATAGTAACTTCTTCTTTCACGATGTTACTCTCTGCTCCATTATCCTACTGCGAGTTTCAAAAAACCTCATCGTGCATCTTACGTATCTTTGTAAATCTATCGGGATAAAATTTCGTGCAATAGTTTGTACCTCTGTTATCATTTCCTTACCGTTTGGGAGCGTAGTGTTCTTTGACTTTGAGCTCATAACCGCTACTCTCACTTTTGCCTTCTTACACTGATCTCTGTTTAACTTGATGATTCAAGCTGTATGGTTTTTACAATTAGTTCCATTTCCTTTCTTAAGCTGTCAGCCGCGGTACCTCTTTACCAGGTCAGAAAATTCATATTAAGTTTAGTTATTTCTCAAATGCTTGTCTAAATAATAAGCTTTAGGGAGCATTATTGTATTTATATGATACCTGATTGATTCCTATCAGCTCCCGAAATTCTCATTGTTTGATTTGACCAAAGCTAATAGAGACCTTAAGATCATTCATGAAAGTAAAACACCAAAGAAATGATAAAAAAAATTCATCAAGACATTAGTTTATTTTGCCGTACCGAAGGCGTATTGTCAAGGCATGGTTTTGTGCAGCAGATATCCCAATAGCTTACATTTTCCTGGAGGGCAGACTAAAACCGAGTTTGTTGTAAGCTAGATTATGTCTTTTTCGCTGTTTGTCCTGGACCAATATGTTTTGTATTGATTATTTTTGATTTTATTTGCGTTTGCGGAAGCAGAATTTATTTACTTTAATGTTTAGAATTCCTTTCTTATTGTTTTGCGACACATACTTTAACTTAGTAAATTGCTGGCGCTTCGTATAATTCTTTTTTTATTGCAGTTGAAGTAGTTATTTACTGTAAAAATGGCAAAAATGTAAGGGTAGTTCCATTATATCAAGACGTAAAGATCCAGTCAAAGTTTTCGGCAGCAAATATTCGGGAAGAAGAAAAGTAGAAGGGGCGGGAGAGTCATCTGTTGTTTCTAAAAGGCTGGTAGTATTGTTCATAATAGATGACTTTGTTTATCTATTGTCATGCATTTTCTGTTTTTACTTTTTCACTCGTCTTGTAGACCTTCAAAATGTTGCCGGAATACTTGAAATCCATCTTGAATGTATCAGGATTTCCTTATCACTCTTCTCCATGTTAAAAAACAGTTCCTTACTTAAATGTATTTCAATATTTGAGTTTTTTAATGTGCTACGGGTATAAAACCAGAATTTCCGAATAATGGAGAGTCTGGATAATATATAT